CTTTTTGTAAGGAAACAAAATGGTGCTCCAGTGGAAGTGCTCTGGAAACAGTGATTGCTTGCTTTATAGAGCTACTGAATTCCTTGCTTTTGCTAATATTTAAATTTTAAAAGAAAACATGCCCCAATCCAAGGATTCTTGTGATATATTTGTGTTAGGGTGTGTGTGTGTGCATATTTTAAACCAGCAGTCACTTTTTCAATTTTAAATTATACTAATCACTCAGTTGTTTCCTGGACTATTTTAAATCAACAAGTTTTCTTTGAATATATTGAAATATATATATATATATATATATATATATATATATATATCTTGCAGACTTATGAGAATTTTAAGAAAATAAGGGTTTTATTAAGGTAGACGGTTGTAAAATAAAATCAGAAGATTTCTAACATGTGCTTAAATAGAAAACACAAAGGGAAATTATCCCATTTTTATTTATAACTAAGTAACATTTAACATCTAGAAATAGTCTTAACAAGAAATATTCATGAACTGGATATGTAAAATTATTCTATATGATAAGACAAAAAGATTTGAGAATATTACAAAACATTTGATTAAATGGGGAGACACAATTTAGAAAAAGTAGGCTTTCTTTTTAAAAAGAGGTCAATTCTGTTTGAATGTATTCTATTCACATTGTAATATCAATCAAAATTCTCATTTGTTATGGGGAAGGTGGTGAGAAACTTGATAAAGTGATTTTAAATGTTACTTTGAAGAGTAAACATGCAAGAACAGCTAGAAAAATTCTGAACAAAAAAAATGAAGAAGTTTGCCTTGTCAGGTGTTAAGATGTACTATAAAAATACTGAAATTAAAAGAATGTGGAACTGGCTGAGAAATAGATGGTTGAGAAACAAAACATCCAAACTCAGATCCAACTATGTATGGAGATATTTAGTGTATAATAAAGTTAGCATTTTGAATCAGTAGAGAAAAATGCATTAATGAATAAATGTTTGTCCAATATGTAATAATTTGGAGAAATACATCATTCTTACAGTGTTCTTTATTTATACTTGTTTTAAAAGCCTGTAAAACTAACAAAAGAAAATATAATTAGATGTTAAATGTAATATTAGGGTAGGAAGGCCTTTGTAAACATAGCATTAAAAAACTGAAACAATAAAAAACAACATTGACAAATGTAACTATAAAAAATTACATCTATATAGGATAAACAGTCTGTGAGGTTAAAAGACAAATGACCAGTAGGAAAAAGCATTTTTCATGTATGTGATAGAAAAAGGCCTATTATCCTTAATATACAAAAATCTCTTACAAATCAATGAGTGTACTTCCCAATAAAAAATGTACAACAACAAAAATACAGCATACAACAAAAATACTTTGTTCAGGGTAATTAATGAGATACCACCATCTGACAAGGAGGGGAACTGATATTTTACTTAAGGGATAAAATATAAAACAGAATTCTTGCCGATGGAATAATGAAATACTTTGTTATGGTACAAAGTGTTTCAAACTTTGCTACATGGTTTACAGAAATATCTGTGTTAGATACTGAATGTGATTCTAGTCTTTACTAAAGATCTTTTAAAATTAAACTTTTTTTGGAGATCAAAAAGTCCAACATTGTGCCAATAAAAAAAAAAAAAAAAAAAAAAAAAAAAAAAAAAAAAAAAAAAAAAACAAAGAAAAAGGAAAAAGTTTTAAATAATAAAAATAAAAAATAATTAAACTTTTTTTTAACTCACAAAGAGGGCATTTTTAGTTCATATACCTGAAAAGTCCAGCGACTATACTACCTTCAGACACAGTTGAATCCAAGGTCACCAACTTTGTTACCAAGACTCAAATCTTTGCATCTTTTGGTTTTGCTTTCCTTTGCACTAACTTCATTCTCTGACTGGCACATTTGATGGGGTGGGCCTGTTGGAGTTCTTACTTAACAATACTTAGCAACTTCAGCAAAAAGAGCTTTTCCTTTCTTATAGTTCAGTAAAAGCGATAGGTTTGAGTATACTGCACCAGCTTGAATCATATGACCATTTATGAACGAATTGTTATGGTCAGAAAGATAGATTATGCTCATTGATCAGGCCTGAATTACAGGTCGACCTACTAAGGCCAAGGTTGGCTTTGAACATCTGAACCACATGGACTGAAAATAAGGAAAAGTGGTTCCAAGAAACATTAGGATGATGTTATAAAAAGAAGAAATCAATGTTGGGCAGTAGGTTTTTGATTTTTAGGTAATTATAGACTCATATGCAGTTATAAGAAATAATATAGAGAGATTCTTTTACCCAGTTTTCCCCCAATGGTAAAATCTTACAAAATGATAGTACCATATCACAACCAGGATATTGACACTGATACAGTCAAGATACAATTTCCTAATCATAAGATTACTTATGTTGCCATATTTAAGCCACATTCACTTCCCTTTTGTCCTCACATCATCCTAAACCTCTGAAAAACACTTATCTCTTCTACAGTTTCATAATTTTGTCATTAAAAAATATTATTATATAAATAGAATTGCACAGTTTTTAACCTTTGAGAATGGCTTTTTTTTCAGTCAGTATGATTCTTTGGAGAGTCATCTAGGTTGTTGAATGTACTAACAGTTCTTTTTATTGTTAAGTAGTATTCTGTGGTATAGATATACTGCAGTTTGTTTACCTATTTACCTACTGCAAGACATCTGGATTGCTTCCATTTTTTGGCTATTACTCATAAAGGTGCTATAAATATTAGTATACAGTTTTCTGTATGAACATAAAATTTCATTTCTCTGGGATGAATGTTGAAGAGTAAAATAAGGGTGGATTTAAATGAAGGTTATTCCAACATGAATAACTTCTCCAAAAATATTAGAGTTCTTCAATAAAGATAATTCCCTTTGACTTCAGCTGGGATGATTACAAAGACAGAGTTAAACTACCAAAGAAAAAGTATTTGTAGAGTTGCTGAAATAGTGCGGATGAACAAACAGTTGAATAGATAATCCCTGTGCTTTAATTCCCTTAATAATTCCTCAAGTTGATATGCTAAGGCAATTTCAAGCAAAATTCCATGAAGCACAAAGACCTCTTTAGAAGCTTTGAGGTATGACAAATGCCAGCTGGACCATCTCAGAACTTTTGATGATACCCTTTAAAGTCATAGCTATGTGAGTAAGTTTGAACATCTCTTTATTACACGCTTTTCTAAGTGCAATAGTTTCAAAAATGATTAAAACAAAATCCCCCAGGAATACTTTTTAGTAAAGCTATGATTTAAACTTAGTTTTATATTTTAAAAATCATTTTGCCCTCCTTTGGTTTTCTTGCAGGAAAGAATGATTTTTATTAGGACTGAGAATCATTGCAGTCTGATAATAAATGTTTTTGAGAAGTAATTTATTATAGTAAATTATGAGCCTTACTCTTCTGCAGTTGAATTATATCAATATAGAATTTTAAAACACATATTTATTTGAGCAGAACACATTCCTAAAGAGACTTGGGTAAGCTGACTGACAAACTATGTAATGTGCATCCACTTCCATAAAGCAGTTTTGTTGTAGGATTTCATACCCTTCAAAAACAGCATAGAAAGTTGTAACAATGTCAGGAAACCTAAGTGATACCCACAGCAGTATTATTATAATTTAATATTGGTTGAGCATCACAGTAAGCAGGCATTTTATAAAACATATCAGGAGAGCTGGTTCCTGTCCTCTAGACAACCATCTTGTATATCAAACTAGTATTGAATCTTTTGTTTATTTATAAAAACAAGGCACAAGAAATGGTCATTTGGGAACATATAGAATGATTAAATGATAACTCAGTATTTAAATCAACTGTAGCATTGTGCCTTATGTATAGGTATAAAGTGAATAATTTTTGATTTAAACTGAACATTTTATCAACCAGTTCATATCTTTCATTTTATAAAAAGTAATAAATACTCTATACAAAGCTATGTAGAAAAAAGATATGAAGATAGGAAAGTGTGTGATGTTTGGGGCAATGAGTCCAATGGGACTGTACTGCAGGCCTGAAGCAGAAGTGACTCAATAGGCTGTGTTGGCTGCAGGTAATAGAGAACGCAACTAACCGTGGCTTTAAGAAGATTATTATCTAAAGCAATCAACTTTTTTTGTATTATACTTTAAGTTTTGGGATACTTGTGCAGAACGTGCAGGTTTGTTACATAGGTATATACGTGCCATGGTGGTTTGCTGCACCCATCAACCCAACATCTACATTAGGCATTTACCCTACAGTATTCTTCCCCCAGCCTCTCAACCCATGACAGGCCCCAGTGCATGATGTTCCCCTCCCCGTGTCCATGTGTTCTCACTGTTCAACTCCCACTTGTGAGTGAGAACATGCGGTGTTTGGTTTTCTGTTCTTGTGTTAGTTTGCTGAAAATGATGGTTTCCAGCTTCATCCATGCTCCTGCAAAGGACACGAACTCATCATTTTTATGGCTACATGGTATTCCATGGTGTATATGTGCCACATTTTCTTTATCCAGTCTATCACTGATGGGCATTTGGGTTGGCTTCAAGTCTTTGCTATTGTGAACAGTGCTGCAATAAACATACATGTCTATGAGCCTTTATAGTAGAATGATTTATAATCCTTTGGGTATGTACCCAGTAATGAGATTGCTAGGTCAAACGGTATTTCTAGGTCTAGATCCTTAAGGAATTGCCACACTGTCTTCTACAATGGTTGAACTAATTTACGCTCTCACCAACAGTGTAAAAGCATTCCTATTTCTCCACATCCTCTCCAGCATCTGTTGTTTCCTGACTTTTTAATGATCACCATTCTAACTGGCATGAGATGGTATCACATTGTGGTTTTAATTTGCATTTCTCTAATGACCAGTGATGATGAGCTCTTTTACATATGTTTGCTGGCTGCATAAATGTCTTCTTTTGAGAAGTGTCTGTTCATATCCTTAGCCCACTTTTTGACTGGGTTGTTTTTTTCTTGTAAATTTGTTTAAGATTTTGTAGATTCTGCTTATTAGCCCTTTGTTAGATGGGTAGATTGAAAAAATTTTCTCGCATTTTTTGGCTGCCTGTTTACCCTGATGAGTTTCTTTTGCTATGCAGAAGTTCTTTACTTTAATTATATCCCATTTGTCAATTTTGGCTTTTGTTGCCATTACTTTTGGTGTTTTAGTCATAGGCTCATGCCTATGTCCTGAATGATATTGCCTAGGTTTTCTTCCAGGGTTTTTATGGTTTTAGGTCTTAGGTTTAAATATTTAATCCATCTTGAGTTAATTTTTGTATAAGGTGTAAGAAGGGGTCCAGTTTTCGTATTTTGCATATGGCTAGCCAGTTTTCCCAACACCATTTATTAAATAGGGAATCCTTTCCCCATTGCTTGTTTTTGTCAGGTTTGTCAAAGATAGTTGTAGTTGTGTGGTGGTCTTTCTGAGATCTCTGTTCTATTCCATTGGTCTATATATCTGTTTTGGTACCAGTACTATGCTGTTTGGTTACTGTACCTTTGTAGTATAGTTTGAAGTCAGGTAGCATGACACCTCCACCTTTGTTCTTTTTGCTTAAGATTGTCTTGGCTGTATGGGCTCTTTTTTGCTACCAAATGGAATTTATAGTAGTTTTTTTCTAATTCTGTGAAGAAAGTCAATGGTAGCTTGATGGGACTAGCATTGAATGTATAAATTACTTTGGGCAGTATGGCCATTTTCATTGATTCTTCTTTTCCATCAGCATGGAATGGGTCTCCATTTGTTCATGTACTGTCTTATTTCCTTGAGCAGTGGTTTGTAGTTCCCTTTGAAGAATTCCGTCACATCTCTTATTTGTTGTATTCCTAGGTATTTATTCTCTTTGTAGCAGTTGTGAATAGAAGTTATGACTTGGCTTTTGTTTGTCTGTTATTGGTATAGGAATGCTTGTATTTTTTTTTTCAAGGAAGGAATATTTGTTTATTTTTACATATATATGCATTTATATTTATGCTTCCTTGTCTATTATATCTACGCATTATATGTGATTTGCATTTTGACATTGTACCTTGTATAAACAAAATAAAACATCTATTTTCAATATTTTTAAAATACACTAAAAGAATCACCAAGGAGAAATGTTCCGCTCAAAGGAGGAGAAAGGTGGAAAGGCAGAGTCCAGGGTGACTCAGTTCCAGTGTTCTTTTCAAAAGGAGAATGAGCCTTGCCTAAAGCGGGCTCCCATCACAGTTTGGGGAATTTCCAGCAATTCCATGTGAGGAGAAGCAGCAGCATGTAATCCACGCAGTGTGTGGTGACAAGTCGGCGCTAAGCTCCACAGTGGTATACATGTTGTCTTTTTGCAGACTGCCAGGCCAATGCCAGCCGCCTTCTTACACTTACTTCAGCCTTCTTTTCTAGCCTTCTTTTGTTTCTGTTTTTGACATTTTTTTCTTTCTTTTTTTTTTTTTTTTTTTTTTTTTTGAGACAGGTTCTCACTCTGTCACTAGAGTGCAGTGGCAGGATCTCTGCTCACTGCAACCTCTGCCTCCTGGGTTCAAGCGATTCTTCTGCCTCAGCCTCCTGAGTAGCTGGGACTACAGGCAGGCGACACCACATCCAGCTAATTTTTGGATTTTTAGTAGAGATGGGGTTTCACCATGTTGGCCAGGATGATCTCAATCTCTTGAACTAGTGATCCTCCCGTCTTGGCCTCCCAAAGTGCTGGGATTACAGGTATGAGCCACCATGCTCGGCCTGGCATTTATTTCTAAAATCATGAGTCTAACCCCACCTCCTCATTTTATTTTTATTTTTTATTTTTATTTATTTATTTTGTATATGTTTTATTGCACTTTAAGTTCTGGGGAACATGTGCGAAACTTGCAGGATTGTTGCATAGGTACGTACGGGGCAATGTGGTTTGCTGCCTCCATTGCCATCACCTATATCTGACGTTTTTCCCCATGTTATCCCTCTCCAACCTCCCTACCCTCTCCTGTCCTTCCCCTATTCCCTCCCAACAGACCCCAGTGTGTGATGCTCCCCTCCCTTTGTTCATGTGTTCTCATTGTTCAACACCCACCTATGAGTGAGAACATGCGGTGTTTGTTTTTTTGTTTTTGTGTCAGCTTGCTGAGAATGATGGTTTCCAGGTTCATTCATGTCCCTGAAAAGGACATGAACTCATCTTGTTTTATGGCTGCATAGTATTCCATGGTGTATATGTGCCACATTTTCCCTGTCCAGTTTATCATCGATTGGCAGTTGGGTTGGTTCCAGGTCTTTGCTACTGTAGACAGTGCCGCAATGAACAAACGTGTGCAGGTGTCTTTATAATAGAATGACTTATAGTCCTTTGGATATATACCCAGTAATGGGATTGCTGGGTCAAATGGAATTTCTGTTTCTAGGTCGTTGAGGAATCACCACACTGTCTTTCACAGTGATTGAACTAATTTACACTCCCACCAACAGTGTAAAAGTGTTCCTATTTCTCCACATCCTCTCCAGCACCTGTTGTCTCCAGATTTTTTAATGATCTCCGTTCTAACTGGCATGAGATAGTATCTCAATGTGGTCTTGATTTGTGTTTCTCTAACGACCAGTGATGATGAGCATTTTTTCATATGTTTGTTGGCCTCATAAAAGTCTTCTTTTGAAAAGTGTCTGTTCATGTCCTTCCCCACTTTTGAATGGGTTTGATTGGTTTTTTTCTTATAAATCTGTTTTAGTTCTTTGCAGATTCTGGATATTAGCCCTTTATCAGATGGGTAGACTGCAAAACTTTTTTGCCATTCTGTTGGTTGCTGGTTCACTCTAATGATTGTTTCTTTTGCTGTACAGAAACTGTGGAGTTTAATTAGGTCCCATTTGTCTATTTTGGCTTCTGTTTCCAATGCTTTTAGTGTTTTAATCATGATGTCCTTGCCTATGCCTATGTCCTGAATGGTTTTGCCTAGGTTTTCTTCTAGGGTTTTTATGGTGTTAGGTCTTACATTTGAGTCTTTAATCCCTCTGGAGTTAATTTTTAGTGTAAGGTGTCTGAAAGGGGTCCAGTTTCTACTTTCTGCACATGACTAGCCAGTTTTCCCAACACCATTTATTAAACAGGGAATTGTTTCCCCATTGCTTGCTTTTGTCAGGTTTGTTAAAGATCAGATAGTTATAGATGTGTGGCATTCCCTCCAAGGCCTCTGTTATGTTCCATTGGTCTATGTCTCTGTTTTGGTACCAGTATGCTGTTTTGATTACTGTAGCCTTGTAGTATAGTTTGATGTCAGGTAGCGTGATGCCTCCAGCTTTGTTCTTTTTGCACAGAATTGCCTTGCCTATGCAGGCTGTCTTTTGGTTCCATATGAAGTTTAAGTTGGTTTTCTTTCAGTTGTGAAGAGGGTCATTGGTAGCTTGATGGGTATAGCATTGAATCTATATATTACTTTAGGCGGTGTGGCCATTTTCACGATATTGATTCTTCCTAGCCATGAGCATGGAATGTTTCTCCATCTGTTTGTGTTCTCTCTTGTTTCCTTGAGCACTGGTTTGTAGTTGTCCTTGAAGAGGTCCTTTACATCCTTTGTCAGTTGTAGATTCACTCTAATGATTGTTTCTTTTGCTGTGCAGAAGCTGTGGAGTTTGATTAGGTCCCATTTGTCTATGGTGGCTTTTGTTGTCAATGCTTTTGGTGTTTTGGTCATGAAGTCCTTGCCTACACCTACGTCCTGAATGGTTTTGCCTATATTTTCTTCTAGGGTTTTTATGGTGTTAGGTCTTATGTTTAAGTCTTTAATCCATCTGGAGTTAATTTTAGTGTAAGGTGTCAGGAAGGGGTCCAGTTTCTGCTCTCTGCACATGGCTAGCCAGCTTTCCCAACACCATTTATTGAACAGGGAATCCTTTCCCCATTGCTTGTTTTTGTCTGGTTTGTCAAAGATCAGGTGGTTGTAGATATGTTGTGTTGCCTCCGAGACCTCTGTTCTGTTCCATTGGTCTATATCTCTGTTTTGGTACCAGTACCATGCTGTTTTGATTACTGTAGCCTTGTAGTATAGTTTGAAGTCTGGTAGTGTGATGCCCCCCGCTTTGTTCTTTTTGCTTAGAATTGACTTGGCTATGCAGGCTCTCTTTTGGTTCCATATGAAGTTTAAGGTGGTTTTTTCCAGTTCTGAGAAGAAGGTTTTCGGTAGCTTGATGGGGATAGCATTGAATCTGTAAATTACTTTGGGCAGTATGGCCATTTTCACGATATTGATTCTTCCTAACCATGAATATGGAATGTTTCTCCCTCTGTTTGTGTCCTCTCTTATTTCGTTGAGCAGTGGCTTGTAGTTCTCCTTGAAGAGGTCCTTTACATTCCTTGTTAGTTGTATTCCTAGGTATTTTATTCTCTTTGTGGCAATTGTGAATGGAAGTTTGTTCTTGATTTGGCTCTCTTTAAGTCTGTTATTGGTGTATAGGAATGCATGTGATTTTTGCACATTGATTTTGTATCCTGAGACTTTGCTGAACTTGCTTATCAGTTTCAGGAGGTTTGGGGCTGAGACGATGGGGTCTTCTAGATATACAATCATGTTGTCTGCAAATAGAGACAATTTGACTTCCTCCTTTCCTATTTGAATGCCCTTTATTTCTTTTTCTTGCCTGATTGCTCTGGCTAGAACTTCTAATACTATATTGAATAGCAGTGGTGAGAGCGGGCATCCTTGTCTGGTGCCACATTTCAAGGGGAATGCTTCCAGTTTTTGCCCATTCAGTATGATATTGGCTGTTGATTTGTCATAAATAGCTTTTATTATTTTGAGATACGTTCCATCGATACCTAGCTTATTGAGTGTTTTTAGCATAAAGGGCTGTTGAATTTTGTCAAAGGCCTTCTCTGCATCAATTGAGATAATCATGTGGTTTTTGTCTTTGGTTCTGTTTATGTGGTGAATTACGTTTATAGACTTGCGTATGTTGAACCAGCCTTGCATCCCTGGGATGAAGCCTACTTGATCATGGTGGATAAGCTTTTTGATGTGCTGTTGCAATCGGCTTGTCAGTATTTTATTGAAGATTTTTGCATCTATGTTCATCATGGCTATTGGCCTGAAGTTTTCTTTTCTTGTTGAGTCTCTGCCGGGTTTTGGAATCAGGATGATGTTGGTGTCATAAAATGATTTGGGAAGAATTCCCTCTTTTTGTATTGTTTGGAATAGTTTCAGAAGAAATGATACCAGCTCCTCTTTGTATGTCTGGTAGAATTCAGCTGTGAACCCATCTGGACCTGGGCTTTTTTTGGTTGTGACCTCAACTTCAGCCCTGGTTATTGGTCTATTCAGGGTTTCGACTTCTTCCTGGTTTAGACTTGGGAGTGTGTAAGTGTCCAGGAATGTATCCATTTCTTCCAGGTTTACTGGTTTGTGCATAGAGTTGTTTGTAGTAATATCTGATGGTGGTTTGTATTTCTGTGGAATCTGTGGTGACATCCCTTTTATCATTTTTTACTGCCTCTATTTGATTCTTCTCTCTTTTGTTTTTCATTAACCTGGCTACTTGTTTGTCTATTTTGTTGATCTTTTTGAAAAACCAGTTCATGGATTTATTGATATTTTGAATGTTTTTTTTTGTGTCTCTACCCACTTCAGTTCTGCTCTGATCTTAGTTATTTCTTGTCTTCTGGTAGGTGTTGAGATTTTTTAATTTGTTCCTCTACCTCTTTTGATTTTGATGATAGGGTGTCGATTTTAGATCGTTCCTTGCTTCTCATGTGAGTATTTATTGTTATGTATTTTCCTCTAGACACTGCTTTAAATGTGTCCCAGAGATTCTGGTACATTGTGTCTTTGTTCTCGTTGTTTTCGAAGAACATCTTTATTTCTGCCTTCATTTCATTGTTTATCCAGTCAACATTCAGGAGCAAGTTGTTCAGTTTCCATGAAGCTGTGCGGTTCTGAGTTAGTTTTTGAATTCTGAGTTCTAACTTGATTGCACTGTGGTCTGAGAGACTGTTTGTTGTGATTTCTGTTCTTTTGCATTTGCTGAGGAGTGATTTACTTCCAATTATGTGGTCAATTTTAGAGCATATGCAATGTGGTGCTGAGAAGGATGTATATTCTGTGGATTTGTGGTGAAGAGTTCTGTAAATGTCTATTAGGTTTGCTTGGTCCAGATCTGAGTTCAAGTCCTGGATATCCTTGTTAATTTTCTGTGTCGTTGATCTGTCTAATATTGACAGTGGAGTGTTAAAGTCTCCCACTATTATTGTGTGGGAATCTTTGTGTCTTTGTAAGTCATTAAGAACTTGCTTTATGTATCTGGGTGCTCCTGTATTGGATACATATATATTTAGGATAGTTAGCTCTTCTTGTTGCATTGATCCTTTTACCATTTACATAATGTAATGTCCTTCTTTGTCTCTTTTAATCTTTGTTGGTTTAAAGTCTATTTTATCAGAGACTAGAATTGCAATGCCTGCTTTTTTTTTTTTTTTTTTTAAATCTCTATTTGCTTGGTAAATCTTCCTCCATCTCTTTATTTTGAGCTTATATGTGTCCTTGCATGTGAGATGGTGGGATTCCTGGATACAGTACAGTGATGGTTTTTGACTTTTTATCCAATTTGCCAGTCTGTGTCTTGATTGAGACATTTAGCCCATTTACATTTAAGATTAATATTGTTATGTATGAATTTGATCCTGCCATTTTGATGCTAACTGATTGTTTTGCCCATTAGTTGACTCAGTTTCTTCATTGTGTTGATGCGTTTTACCACTTGGCATGTTTTTGGAATGGCTGGTACTGGTAGTTCCTTTCTATATGTAGTGCTTCTTTTAGGAGCTCTTGTAAGGCTGGCCTGGTGGTGACAAAATCTCTGAGCAATTGCTTGTTCCTAAAGGATTTTGTTTCTCCTTCGCTTGTGACGCTTAGTTTGGCTGGATATGAAATTCTAGGTTGAAAGTTCTTTTCTTTAATGATATTGAATATTGCCTTCCATTCTCTTCTGGCTCTTAGGGTTTCTGTCAAGAGGTCTGCTGGGAGTCTGATAGGCTTCCCTTTGTGGGTAACCCAACCTTTCTGTCTGGCTGCCCTTTGCATTTTTTCCTTTATTTCAACCCTGGTGAATCTGACGATTATGTGCCTTGGGGTTGCTCTTCTTGAGGAATATCTTTGTGGTGTTCTCTGTATTTCCTGGACTTGAATATTGGCCTGCCTTGCTAGGTTGGGGAAGTTGTCCTGGAAAATATCCTGAAGAGTGTTTTCCAGCTTGGAATCATTCTCTCCATCACATTGAGGTACACCTATCAAACGTAGATTAGGTCTTTTCACATAATCCCATATTTCTTGGAGGCTTTGTTCATTTCTTAGTACTCTTTTTTTCTCTATTCTTGCCTTCTCATTTTATTTCATTGAGCTGATATTCAGTCTCTGATATCCTTTCTTCTGCTTGGTTGATTCGGATATTGAAACTTGTGTATGCTTTGTGAAGTTCTTGTGTGGTGTTTTTTCAGTTCTATTAAATAATTTATTTTCTTCTCTAAGCTGTTTATTCTCATTAGCATTTTGTCAAACCTTTTTTCAAGGTTCTTACTTTCTTTGCAATGGGTTAGAACATGTTCTTTTAGCTCAGAGATGTTTCTTATTGCCAACTCTCTGAAGCCTGTTTCTGTGAATTCATCAGACTCATTCTCCATCCAGCTTTGTTCCTTTTCTGATGATGAGTTGTGGTCTCTTGGAAGAGTAGAGGCATTCTGGTTTTGCTGTGTTTTAATCCTTTTTGCGCTGGTTTCTTCCCGTCTTTGTGGATTTATCTACCTGTGGTCTTTGTAGTTGGTGACTTTCGGATGGGGTCTCTGAGTGGATGTCTTTTTGTTGATGATGAAGTAATTTCTTTCTGTTTTTTAGTTTTCCTTCTAACAGTCAGGCCCCTCTGATGTAGGACTGCTGGTGGTCCACTCCAGACTGCTTGCCTGTGGATCACTTGTGGTGGCTGCAGTATAGTAAGGGTTGCTGCCAGTTTCTTCTGTTATCTTCAGAAGGATACCCGCCAGATGTCAGCCGGAGCTCTCCTTTATGTGGTGACTCTTTGGATACATGGGGGTCAGTGAGCTGCTTGCACAGACAGTCTATCCCTTATAGGAGCTCTTGTGCTGAGCTGTGAACTCCGTTGTTCTGTTCAGAGCTGCTGGGTAGGTATGTTTAAGTCTGCTGCAATGGAACTCATAACCGCCTTTTTTCCAAGGTGCTCTGTCCTGGGAAGGTGGGGCTTTATTTATAAGTTTCTTATGTGCTTCAGCCTTTTTTCAGAGCTGTCCTGCCCAGCAAGGAGGTAGCCTACTCACAGTCTGCCAGCAGAGGCATTGCTGAGCTGCCGTGGGCTCTGCCTAGCTGCTCTGTGAACTTCCTTGTGGTTTTGTTTATAGAGGTTTAGTTAGAACTGCCTTGGTAATGGAAGTCTGCCTCATGAATGGCAGGCTGCTTTTGTAATGGCAGACGGCCATGGTAGTGGTGGACTCCCTCGGTAATGGGGACACCCTTCCCCCCAAAGAGCTGGACAGTCCCGGGTCCAACTGCACTTGCTGTGATACTCTCAGTCCAGAGCATTTCAGATTGCTGTTCTTTGTGGGCGTGGGACTCACCGAGCCAGATTACCTGGCTCCCTGTTTCAGCCCCTTTTTTTTTCAGTTGAATGGGCTGCTCTGTCTCTCAGGTGTTACAGGTACCTGTTGAAACGGCCACCCAGATTTGTGTGAGTTTTTTTGTGGAGACCTGCTGTGCCGGCTGAAACAGCCATGCTGGAAATCCCTGGTGCTTTTCAGCCTGGGAATCTCCTGGTCTGTGGGCAGTAATAAATCATTTGGAAATGTGGTGTTCACTTACCCTCTGCATAGTTCTAGCTGGGAACTGCACTCCAGAGCTGTTCTTATTCTGCCATGTTGGATTTTTTCAGAATGCTTGTAATTTTCGCACATTGATTTTGTATCCTGAGACTTTGTTGAAGTTTCTTATCAGCTTAAGGAGAATTTCAGCTGAGACTATGGGGTTTTCTAAATATACAATCATCTCATCTGCAAACAGACAATTCGACTTCCTCTCTTCCTATTTTAATACCCTTTATTTATTTCTTTTGTCTGATTCCCATGGCCAGACCTTCCAATTCTATGTTGAATAGGAGTGGTGAGAGAGGACATCCTTGTCTTATGTCAGTTTTCAAAGGGAATACTTCCAGTTTTTGCCTATTCAGGATAATATTGGCTGTGGGTTTGTCATAAATAGCTCTTATTATTTTTAGGTATGTTCCATCAATACCTAGTTTATTGAGAACTTTTAGCATGAAGAGGTGTTGAATTTTATCAAAGGCATTTTCTGCATGTATTGAGATAATTGTGGTTTTTGTCATTGGTTCTGTTTATGTGACAGATTATGATTATTGATTTGTGTATGTTGACCAGCCTTGCACCCAGGGATAAAGCTGATTTGATGGTGGTGGATAAGATTTTGATGTGTTGCTGGATTCGTTTAGCCAGTATTTATTGAGGATTTTCATATTGATATTCATCAGGGATATTGGCCTGAAATTTTTTTTGTGTGTGTGGGTGTTTCTGCCAGATTTTGGTATCAGGATGATGAAGGCCTCATAAAATGAGTTAGGGGGGAGTTTCTCTTTTTCTTTTGTTTGGAATAGTTTTAGAAGGAATAGTACCAGTTCCTCTTTGTACCTCTGGTAGAATTCAGCTGTGAATCCATCTGATCCTGGGTTTTTTTTTGGTTGGTAGTCTATTAATTATTGCCTCAATTTCAGAACTTGTTATTTGTCTATTCAGGGATTTGACTTCTTCCTTGTTTAGTCTTGGGAGGGTGTATGTGTCCAGGAATTTATCCATTTCTTCTACATTTTCTAGTTTGTTTGGGTAGAGGTTTTTATAGTATTCTCTGATGGTAGTTTGTATTTTTGTGAGATCAGTGGTGATATCCCCTTTATCTTTTTTTATTGTGTATATTTGATTCCTCTCTCTTTTATTCTTTATTAGTCTGGACAGCACTCTATTTATTTTGTCAGTCTTTTCAAAAAACCATGTCCTGGATTCATTGATTTTTTTGTGTCTCTATGTCTTCCAGTTCTGCTCTGATCTTAGTGTCTTCTGCTACCTTTTGAATTTGTTTGCTCTTGCTTCTCTAGTTGTTTTAATTGTGATGTTAGGGTGTTGATTTTAGATTTTTCCTGCTTTCTCCTGTGGGCATTTAGTGCTATAAATTTCCCTCTAATCACTGCTTTAGCTGCATCCCAGAGATTTTGGTATGTTGTGTCTTTGTTCTCATTGGTGTCTAAGAACTTACTGATTTCTGCCTTAATTTCACTATGTACCCATTAGTCTTTCAGGAGCAGGTTGTTCAATTGCCGTGTAGTTGTGCTGTTTTAAATGACTTTCTTAATCCTGATTTCTAATTTGATTGTGCTGTGGTCTGAGAGACTGTTTGTTATGATTTCCCTTCTTTTGCATTTGCTGAGGAGTATTTCACTTCCAATTTTGTGGTCAATTTTAGAATAAGTGCAATGTGGTGCTGAGGAGAATGTTTATTCTATTGATTTGGCATGGAGAATTCTGTAGATGTTTATTAGGTCCGCTTGGTCCAGAGCTGAATTCAAGTCATGGATATCCTTGTTAATTTTCTGTCTCATTGATCTGTCTGATATTGAGAGTGGAGTGTTAAAGTCTCCCACTATTATTGTGTGGGAGTCTAAGTCTCCTTGTAGATCTCTAAGAGCTTGCTTTATGAATCTGGGTTCTCCTGTATTAGGTACATATATATTTAGGATAGTTAGCTCTTCTTGTTGAATTGATTCTTTTACCATTATGTAATGCCCTTCTTTGTCTTTTTTAATGTTTGTCGGTTTAAATTCTGTTTTATCAGAGAAAAGGATTGCAACCCCTTCTTCTTTTTGCTTTCCATTTGCTTGGTAAATATTCCTCCATCTTTTTATTTTGAACCTATGTGTGTCTTTGCATATGAGATGGGTCTCCTGAATACAAAGCACACTGATGGGTCTTGAATATTTTTCCAATTTGTTAGTTTGTATCTTATAATTGGGGCATTTAGCCCATTTTTATTTAAGGCTAATATTATTATGTGTGAATTTGATCCTGTCACCATGATGCTATCTGGTTATTATGCCTGTTAGTTGATGAAGTTTTTTCATAGTGTCAGTGTTCTTTAGAGTTTGGTATATTTTTGCAGTGACCAGTACTGGTTTTTCCTTTCCATGTTCATTGCTTCCTTCAGGAGCAATTGTAAGGCAATGGTGACAAAGATCTTTCTGCATTTACTTGTCTGTGAAGGACTTTATTTCTCCTTCACTTATGAAGCTTAGTTTGGCTGGTTATGAAATTCCGGGTTGAAATTTTTTTTTTTTTTTTTAAGAATGCTGACTATTGGCTCCCACTCTCTTCTGGCTTGTAGGGTTTTTGCTGAGAATTCTGCTATTAGTCTAATGTGCTTCCCTTTGTGGGTAACCTGGCCTTTCTCTCTGGCTACCCTTAATATTTTTTCCTTCATTTCAACCTTGGTGAATCTGATGATTATGTGTCTTGGGGTTGCTCTTCTGGAGGAGTATCTTTGTGATGTTCTTTGTATTTCCTGAATTTGTCTTGCTAGGTAGGGGAAGTTCTCCTGGATAATATTCTGAAGAGTGCTTTCCAACTTAGTTTCATTCTCCCTGTCACTTTCAGGTATACCATTGAAACATAGGTTTGGTATTTTCACACAGTCCCTTATTTCTTGGAGGCTTTGTTCATTTCATTTCATTATTTCTTGTCTAATCTTGTTTTATTGCTTTATTTCATTAAGTTGATCTTCAGTCTTTAATGTCCTTTCTTCTACTTGATCAGTTTGGCTATTGATACTTGTATATGCTTCATGAAGTTCTCATGTTGTGTTTTTTAGCTCCATCAAGTTATTTATGTTCTTCCCTAAACTGCTTATTCTAGTTAGCAGTTCCTCTAACCTTTTGTCAAGGTTCTTACCTTCCTTGCATTAGGTTAGAACATTCTCCTTTCACTCAGAGGAATTTATTACCCACCTTCTGAAGCCTACCTCTGTCAGTTTGTCAAACTCATTCTCCATCCAGTCCAGAGTTGTGACTTTTTGGAGGACAAAAGCTGTTTTGGCTTTTGGAATTTTCAGCCTGTTTTTGCCCTAGTTTTAACTTATCTTTGTGAATTTATCTACCTTTGGTCCTTAATGTTGGTGACCTTTGCATGGAGTTTTTGTGTAGTCATGCTTTTTGTTGATACTGATGTTACTGCTTTCTGTTTGTTAGTTTTCCTTCTAAGAGTCAGGTCCCTCTTCTGCAGGTCTGCTAGAGTCTGCTGGAGGTCAAAAAATACCTTTTTGCCTGGGTATTATCAGTAGAGGCTTCAGAACAGCAAAGACTGTGGCCTGCTCCTTCCTCTGGAAGCTTCATCATAGAGGGGCACCCACCAGATGCTAGCTGGAGCTCTCCTGTATGAGGTGTCTCCCAGTCAGGAGACATCGGGGGTCAGGGACCTGCTTGAGGAGGCAGTCTGTCCCTTAGCAGAGCTTGAATGCTGTGCTGGGAAATCTGCTGCTCTCTTCAGAGCCAGCAAGCAGAAACATTTAAGTCTGCTGAAGCTGTGCCCACAACCACCCCTTTCCCCAAGTTCTCTGTCACAGGGAGACAGGAGTTTTATCTATCAGCCGCTGACTGGGGCTGCTGCCTTTCTTTCAGAGTTGCCCTGCCCAGAGAGGAGGAATCTAGAGAGGCATTCTGGCTATAGCGGCTTTGTGGTGCTGCTGTCAGCTCTGCCCAGTTAGATCTTTTCAGGAGCTTTATTTACACTGTGAGGGAAAAACCACCTGCTCAAGCCCCAGTAATGGTGGACACCCCTCCCCTCACAAACCTCAGGCATCCCAGGTCGACTTCAGATTGTTGTGTTGGAAGTCAGAATTTCAAGTTAGTGGATCTTAGCTTTCTAGGCTCTGTGGGCATGGGATCCACTGATCTAGACTACTTGGCTCTCTGGCTTCAGCCCCTTTTCCAGGGGAGTGAATGGTTCTATCTCACTGGCATTTCAGGCACCACTGGGTTATGGAAAAAACAAAACAAAACAAAACAAAACACTGTAGCTATCTTGGTGTCTGTGCAAATGGCCACTCAGTTTTGTGCTTAAAACCCAGGGCCCAGGTAGTGTAGGAACCAGATGGAATCCCCTGGTCTGTGGGTTGTGAAGACAATGGGAAAAGCATAGTATCTGGGCTGGAGTGCACTGTTTCTCAAGGCATAGTTCCTCACAGCTTCCCTTGCCTAGGGGAGGGAGTTACCTGATCCCTTGCACTTCCTGGGTGAGATGATGCCCCACTCTGCTTTGGCTCGCTCTCCATGGGCTGCTCCCACTGTCTAACCAGTCCCAGAAAGATGTCAGGTACCTCAGTCAGAAATGCAGAAATCACCTGCCTTCTGCATTGATCTCACTGGGAGCTGAATACTGAAGTTGTTCCTACCCAGCCGTCTTCCCAGCCACAAGTCAACAGTGGCTTTAATAAATAGGGATTTGTTTATCCCCACAGAGCAAGAGACAACTAGATAGAAAATTGCAGGCATTCCTCCCATTGTTCATAATGCTGTCAAGGATATAGGCTCTTTCTACCTTGCATTCTCTTTTCTTCATTTGCTAGCTTTTTCCTCTTCGGCTGAACATTCCATAGTTTTTAATATGGGTGCCACAACACCAGGCATCACATCCATGCAGGAAGAAGAAGAAAGAGGGAAGGGCAGATTCAGCTACACCAGTCCCTTTTATCAGAAAATATCCATTCTAGTAGCAAAGAGAGTGAACAAATGACTATATGGCAAAGGGAAAGAATATTGTGATTATCACCTTAGAATGATTGTTCATCACCTCCCGGAGATGAGTATATTGCTGTCATATACAGACAAGTTCTGATAGCAGAAACAGGGGTGATTAGTCATTGATTGGCAGTTTTTAGTCTTCCACTGAGGAGGAAGAAAACGGAATTGGTGGCAGTCTTGAAGGCCTTTTGGTAGGTTTAGGAGTTTAGGCTTTATCAGCAAATATATAGTGTTCAATATTGTCTCCAGTAATTGAATGTGTGTGTTTTCATAAGCCATAAGATTTCAAGAGTTTTAGGTTGAGTTATGCTTATAAAAATTTTTGATCATATTCTAGTTTTATGTACTAGAAAACATGCTTATCAAATAGGCCTTACAGCGGGAGACTTCTCTGCAACTTATTTAGCAAAATAACCAGAAGTGATGGACCTATTCACCCACCAGAAGACAGATCTATCCGGGAGCAGCCTATATTGTTTCAGGATTTTCATCCAAATTTGAGGGAGGGAGATGGAAATATCCTCTACAACCTGGCAGTGCCAAGTCGCCCAATCCATGCTCTTAATAGGATTTGTGAACACTCAGCCTATTAGTATATGCTCAGTGTCTCATGTCTAAATGTTACACAAAAATACCAATGAGATGCCTTTGGAATGATATCTGATCTCATACACAGAATTTGCCTATGTGTAATTATGTTAATACTTCAAGTGTTCATTTAATTATCTTTCTGTTAAATACATCTTAGTTTATCATTAAAATACCAATAATCTTTAGATCAATAAGGTAGATAGTAGGAGGTCTAAAATATAATAATTTATACTCTTTTGGAAAAGAAAAATCCCTTTAAGGAAAGTGCTACAAAGAAAATTTATTTGACAGTTTAATCAGGTATTTTCCTACTTAGTGAATATTTATGTGTATGGCAATTCATCACAGGATTACTTTTATCTCTTTGTTTCTAACACTTGTTGCTAAATTTTTGTGATTATGTAGGTTGGTTAAAGTTTTGATCTTTTGGAAGTTTGTTTCCTTGTTGTTGATTTTAATTACTTTGTAATAAATTCTAGATCTTTGTAAAAAATGTGACCACACTTGGCATCAGTTTGTAAAAGCTATAGGCCATAGTCGTTTCCTTATATGCAAATGAAAGAATGGAGAGGTATACACAGAGAGATTCAGAGGCATATTCAGGAAAGGGGGAAATCATTATGTCTTCACCTGTTTCTATTACAACATGTTCCTTTCCTGTGGGAAAGCATGAAAATGTGGTGATTCATTAAGACAGTTAACCAGGAAGTAGAGTTTGTATGGCCATTTTACATCTAGAAGCAAAATTGTCTAACTTCTCCTAAAATAGATTTAATCAATAGGAACTAAGACTTGAGGTAATGACAGATAAATAGAGGTACAAGTACTAGAGATATTGCTATTAAAAATATCTTGTGATTTTTAACTGAGCTCAAAGACCATCTACAATCATTTTATTAGGATTCCTATGTTGTTATTCTCACATGGGTGATGCCACCGTTATATGGAGCGTTGTTCTTCCATATCCACTAGAAATTAAGAATTATTATAGTTGGGGGGGGTTAGCTAATGTGCTAGATCCAGAATGTACATTTATGGAACAATCATATAAGGATCTAGCTATAAGGACTGTGACTCCAGAGAAATTCTGTAGGTCATCTCAAAATCTCTGTATATCTAACTTTATTTCTTTTCTTCTTTTCTTTTCTTTCCACAGAGTCTCACTCTGTAACCTAGGCTGGAGTATAGTGGCATGATCATAGCTTGCTGCAGCTTCAAACTCCTAGGATCAAGCAGTCTTCCTGCCTCAGCTTGCTGAGTAACTAGAACTACAGGTATGTGCCACCATGCCCAGCTAATTTTTGTATTTTTTATAGAGGTAAGATCTTACTGTGTGACCCAGGATGGTCTTGAACTCCTGGCCTCAAGTGATCATGCAGCCTCAGCCTCCTAAGATGCTGGGATTACAGGCATGAGCTACCATGCCTGGCCTGCATATCTAAGTTTTGTGTATAATAACCTCGTTTCTTATATTGAGGTTTTTCTCTACTATTATATATAATTTCTGTGATGTATAGATCTCTCACTTCAATTTTCAGTGGACAGTTAAAAATTTAAAACACAGATGTGTTTTTGTGACTAATGGTGGCTGTTGAGTTGTTAGAGGTCCAAAGACAGAATAAAATCACAGGGAGAGCCTTCAAGAACCTTCAAGCATTACAGAGCAGGACCAAGTGTCTTTTCCCTCCTTCCATATTTCCTTCTTCCTTCCCTTCTTTCCTTTGCTTGCTTCTCCTTTTTGGGTAGACATTTGTAGGAACTGTTTTAGCCTCTAGAATCATACAATATTTGATAAAAGGAAAAAAAACAAAGATGGAGAGGCTCATAGCTGTAGAGTTTAAATTGCTCACTTTTGACTCAATGAACTTTCTAACACTGCTTTTAGGTAGTAGGTGACAAAATAAAATGATACATTATTTTACCGACATACGTATTTTCATAAGAAAGTATTCAATTGTGTTAAAGAATGTAGTCCAGGCAATTAAGCATAACATTTACCTGTGTTCTTTATCTTGTGACTGGTTTAATGGGTCTACTCTGAGAATAGTTCTATTTGATGCTACTTTCCCTTAAAAAGATACTAAGATATTTGTAGCTGCACCAAGTAAGTTACTTCTGTTTTGAAGAGCACAGGATTCTTTATGAAGGGTGTTGATCCATTATGATTGTATAATAAACATAAAGATTTTAAAATCACCTTTGTATTCAATTAGGTAAATGGAAATTCTGCAAAGAATCTGCTTACTACTGGGGGAAAATGGTGGGAATAGCCTTTTAGGAATGATGTGTTACACAGAAACTTTGCCCTCTGGAGTCTATATATCATTTACAGCAAAAAGGAGGAACATGTTGCTTATAGATGGGAGAGTCTCAGATTAGGATTTCATAATGTGCTAGGGGACGCTGATGAAGCTTCTACCTGGAATAATGAATGTGAACTGTACATTCAGGGTAAAAATAACATTAGTTATGAGATTCTCTAAGTTGCTTGACATGACATGTTCTAACTTACACTTTAAGCTTGCCTGCTTTCAGATATCTCTTAAATAGCAAAGCTATATATAAATGAGCCCATTTATTTTGGATGACTGGTTACAGGAGTAATGCATGCCATTTCCATCATCTTATATGTCTAATTTAGCTGGACTGAAACGATGTTCATTTTTTATGATGGGATTAACATTTGGCAACTCTGTCAGTTGTCTAGATGCTGGCATTCCGTGGTTTGCAGAGTCTGTAGACTGTCTTCTATTGAGGGTGGGAGGAGGGATGGGATGATTTAAGCTTGATTTACATGAAAACAAACATTACTTCTGGTTTGCTATAGGTGATTATCTGCTAGCTAATGAGCTTGAGGAGAAGGTTGGAAAGGTAGAGGGTGTGTGTGTGTGTGTGTGTGTGTGTGTGTGTGTGTGTGTAGAGGTAGTTTTGCTTGTCACAGATAGCTTCTTGTTTAGTTGGGC